AATCATATTTTGAACTGAATAAGTTATCCTGGTCATAATTTTACAGAATGAACTTCCTCAATTTTTTTAACCCCCTCAGTATTTGAAACAATTTTTTGCTCCCTTTTTAAACAAGTTAGAGAAATTTACCCTTGACTTTTTTCAACCTGCCAATTCTTACCAATTTCTATTCTCCTAAAGATACATGCACATTGTAGTTCAACAGTCAGGATTCCACTGCAGTAACATCATTAAATAAATTTTAATTGCATGCACAACTTCAATTTGCAAGCACAACTTCAGTTGTGCTTGCATGTTCGATCTTAAGGCTTTTAAAACCTGGTACTTTAGTTAGCTGAGTATCTCCATAGGGTACATATAGATACTGACAATGTAGAGTTATTATTGAGACTTCTTCCATGTAAGTTACCCAACGTCACAATTTTTGCTTTTACCTTAATTTAATCATAGGATGTCTTTCCAGATAAAGCAACAGAAAGGAAGATTCTTTCTTTTGCAATCAGTTGTCCAACTGAGGGTTGTGGTTAGACTGGTGAACTGAGGAACAAACAGGTACATATGTGTACTGTGGACACCATCAGAACTACTCACAGCTGTTGAAGTGTCCCCTTAATTGCAGACTAACCAGTGATCCAGCTCCCAAAGCCAAAGAAAAAAAAATTGTTGTTAAATGAAATGCATCACATGTATTTAAACTGCAATTACAGGACTCTCACAACAATGTTATCAACATGCAAGTAAATATATGAAAGGTCATACATTTGAACTGTGGAGAAAAATGTAATAAGACATGAATGACTGTCCCAGTCACGTACACAACTTAAACAGCTGTGAAAATGAAGCCTGAAATAAATATTCAGGCTTAATAACTCACAATGTGACCAGCTCCCAGAAGCTCAGGTTTCGGTAGCATGGAGAGAGGTACTGAGTGAGTGTGAGAGTAAAGTGTCTTGCCCAAGAACGCAACATAATGTCCCCGGCCAGAGCTCGAACCCGGACTGCTTGATCTGGAGACGAACGCACTAACCATGAGGCCACCGCAGCAAGCCACATCCAAAGTACCAGATGAAGGTAAATTAAATTCAATATGCTAAGGATGAAAACCTAGTGCCAACAGTTACCTTAGCAACCTTGTAAACACCTTGTATACTTGTGAGTGCTGTGATACCTCTTGGAGAAACCCTTGCACTAGGGTTTGCTTACCTTTTGTAGACAGAAACTTAGAGGGTTTGTATGGAAAAGTCACAGGTTAGATCTACTGTGGTATTTCTAAGTTTTTCAAGCATTTAATCTCTACCTTGAATACCAGAAACATCAAAGTAGGCCATCTTTTTTTCTCTGACTTCTTCCATTTCTCACTGTATAGTTAAGTGTTTTATTTAAAAGAAAAAACGGGTGTCACATGATCCCTAACTGTAAAGGCCTATTGTGGGAACACTGCCAGAGAAAAAAGACAACTGGATGTATGCATTGCAGGCTTATGATGAAAGAGTCTATTATTTTCGTTTGTAGGATCATTTAGGACAGTTTATCAAGTCACTGTTACGTTGTCCAAACAAATATGGTCGTTCAATTTTCAGAGAAAAAGGAAGTCAATTAGAGCTTGAGATTTCTTAGTCTTAAATAAATGAAGTTATATGGCCCTACAGATACAATATGACTTTTAATAACTCCAAATGTAGGACTGATATTTGTGACATATAACTCCTGATCACGTAATGTGGTTGATCTGTAGCCTGATCGGTGGCCTGGGAGCAAGCTTAGCAAGGTTAGGGGTGCTTTCCCCCATGCACTCTGGAGATGCAGTAGTGCGCTCGTCTCCGGATCGAGCTGTCCGGGTTCGAGCCCTGGCCAGGGACATTGCGTTGTGTTCTTGGGCGAGATACTTCACTCTCACAATGCCTCTCTCCACCCAGGTGTATAAATGGGTACCGGCGAATTTAATGCTGGAGGTAACCCTACTATGGACGAGCATCTCATCCAGGGGGAGTACAAATATTCTTCATGATACAGAAACCAGGGTAAGCTCCGGCCTGATGGGCCAGTTGGCTTGTTTGCTGAACTTGCCTTACCTTACGTATAGAAACTCCATTCGTTCAGTAAGCTTGTTCTTATAATTAAAGCCATGATTTACATGTAATTCTTTCAGATTCCAGAGCACACCAGAAACGATTGTCCATTGTCATTAATCTCCTGTCCTTATGAACAGATAGGTTGCAAAAGAAAGGTATTTAGATCAACCTTAACGCTTTGTTTGTATTATAAACATGTACTTATTCCATGACTTTTGACAACATTTTACAATTATACAGTAATACTTCTTCTTCGACCATAACCCTATGTGGGTATAGGGCCAGACATTCTCCTTCGCCATGTCACACGGTCACGAGCAGCCACTGTTGCCTCGCTCCATGAGCCAAAACCCAATGCTGTTCTTTCTTTTTCTGCGGTTCTCCGCCAAGTCTAATAGATTTGGGTGTAGCCAACGACTCTAACGGAGAACAGGCTTCCTTTCGGCTTACACCTGTTCCCGTCATCAATCCATCCTCCCATATGATAAAATTATCATTTGGAGTTAGGCAAGTAGTTGTGCTGTTCCCCATGTAAAATTGCTTGTTAGGATTTCCGGTTTCCGTAATCTATAATTTTTTACGGGATGGGGGGATTGGCCCCATGCCCAACCCCCAACCCCCAACCCCCAACTGCATTACCGGGGTTATGACGAGGACATGCGACAGCCGACTTGGTGGCAGAGCCTTTGACACGGTGGGCATTTCCTGGCATTTGCGAAGTACACCTAGTGGCCCCAGTGCACTCCACCAGGGCACCTTACCACCCTTCAACCCCACAGTAATACTACAGAAAGTATAAAAATAGCAATTGTTACACTAGATTGTTTACTAATTTTAGAAAATATACCAGCGCCTTTATTTTGAAACCCCGCTATGTCGAAGAATTTTTCATTCCCTTTCTGTTGAAATGGGTATCCTGCTGTATTATAATATCTTACTGATGTGTTTCACCTCGGGGGAACTCCCATGTCAGAGGGATTCTTGTCGGAAAATGTGAATTAAACCCCTTAAGGAGACCAATCAGGGAGTGTCTCGAGCTTTTTTGACCCCTAAAATGTTAAAACGGACATGACAGCGTTTTATTTTGTCATTTATTTGCGTGAAGCCTTGAAGTTTCGTTCTGAACAGCCCAAATGAGATCAAAATCCGTAATTGACAACCCTTAGCGAAATGACGAGTGGGGTTGGGGTGTGTTTCATTAACGCGGAAGATGTTAGTATGTAAATAAAGGTAAAGTATGCATACGAGTGGCCTATCTTGCCGAAGCCTATCCCGGTTTCAGTGGCATGAAGCGACTAGGGGTATTTCTATTCCTCCCTGGATGGGATGCTAATCTATAGCAGGGTTACCCCCAGCATTAAGTTCGTCAGTACCCATTTATACACCTGGGTGCATGGAGAGAAGCACTGTGAGAGTAAAGTGTCTTGCCCAAGAACACAACGCGATGTCCCCGGCCAGGGGCCCGTTTCTCGAAAGCTCGGAAACTTTTCGTGCCCGGAAAGCCATAGGAATTTGATTAACTATTTACATCTAAACTTTCCTTCAAAACGTTGGAAAAACGATCGAGAAAAACGTCGCATTTCGTAGACGACCGACAACCACTGTACTCTAATGGCTGATAGTGCACGAGTAGCTCAGCCAATCAGATTGCAGCATTTGCATTAGTATACTAGTAGAATTCTACTAATAATTAACAATTGGAGTATAACCTAAAGATTTCCACGAGGAGATAGTCGATGAGGCCGAAGGCCTCATCGACTATCTCCTCATAGACATCGCGCGAGAGTGAGTAATGTATCTGTTTTAGTAGAATTCTAACTGGGATTTCCTTCAAACAACGATTACAATTATTTCTGGTCATAGTATTAAGCTTCACTCTTTAGAGAATTCGCGTGGACTGAATTACTTGTCAAAAATTGCGAGCTTTTTTAATTCAAGAAACCGTAAATGGCCTCCTTTTAGTCTTCTCAGGAATTTAGTTAATACATTTGTTTCTTAATGTTCTTCAGCGAGGGAACGTTGTAATTTTGTTGAGCACACCAGGCCTCTGCACACTAATAGCTGATATTATGCAATGGCTCAGCCCATCAGATTAAAGCAATGCATTAGTATACTAATAAAATTCTACTTAAGCTTAATAGTTGATGAGGGCACAAGCCCCGGAGTCAACTATCATGCATAGAAATCTAGGGCGAAAAATCTAACTGTTTTAGTATGAATCTACTAGTCGTTCAAAACTTTTATCTAAATCCTCTTCACAGACACCTCGAAAATGCAAAGAAGCGGCTGTCATTTTGTTAACAAGCGCACACTGCTGCGCTACTCACTATCTACAACAGAATAGATAGTGAGTAGCCTAGCCAATCAGAGAACGCCATTCGTGAAAGGACGTTAGTAGATTTACACTAAAACAGAATTGATGGTGTCTAGCGTAGCCAATCAGCGAGCGGCATTCGCGATAGAAAGCTAGTAGACTCGAGAGAAGCATGGACTAAATATTCCCTATTTCTTTTATAAAACACTCCGAGAAAGGAAGGGAAACTCACTCTTCATTGTCATTATCAAAACGTAAATTCTCTTTGCTTGTGCCATCATTACATCGACAGCTCATGCCCTTGCTTTTCGCTGCCAGCTAAATAACGTAAGAAAACATTAACATATTTTTGAGATTCGACGAAATAACTACGTATTTTCGTGGAGGTTCGGCGACGATTTATGGAATTCCATCTGCCATGAAACCCCATCTGGACTTAGCGCGTGTCAGACTTGAAACACGAATGTTTATTTGGAAGGTTAAGTGCTTCAGTAAACTTTTGAGGCAAGCGAAAGCCGGAGAGGTGCTTAATACAGCTAGTTCCCCGTTCTACTCAGACAGGTCAGAGAGTTATGGCTACAAGCTAAAAGTACGTATTGATCCAAATGGTGATGGGTCCGGCAAGAATACTCACCTGTCGATGTTCATCGTCGTCATGGAAGGTGAATATGACGCCATGCATATTACCCTGGCCTTTCAAAATTAAAGAACGTGAAGTTTACATTGATCGATCAACAGGAAGATCCAGCCCAGGGGGAAAACATTGCGCAGTATTTCATACCAGGTGATTACCCATGCTTCACAAGGCCTACGAGTAACGAGAACAGAGCTGGGCACGGGTTTCCCGAATTTATATCTCACGAGAAACTTCATTCAAGGCCCTATATTGTGGATGACACTCTGTTTCTCCAGGTTGAGATCAGCCCGTCATCCAGTTAAGGTTTACACGCTCGCCCTTTTCACGGCTGAAGACACGAAGAACGTAAAAAAGCCAAACGTCCAGTGTGGCTCTGATGATTTCAAAATAATTAACAATGAGGAATAGATCAAACGTTCCCAAAAAGTCCCTTTAGGGAATGCTCCAGTTTTCAGTTACCTCGATTTGGTACGACTTACAGCAGAATTTTCATAACTTG